TGACTTGACACTGGGGATTTGATTTTATTTATACTCAACAGATCTATTTTACTACTATTAAACTGAGGCCTATAACATCTTCAGTAACTTGTCTAACACCATGCAGCGAGTTAATGCTTGCCCTGGGACAAATAGCCAGGTTTGATAACTCCCAATGCCATTTAAATAATCTAAATCTTAAACTTCTGAAGGTCTCGAGACACTTGAAGCCATCCACAGTCTGAGTCCTAGTTCTAATCATGAAATACCTAACTACCACACAGAGCACCATGCTTAGAAGGGAAGAAATCAAGGGGAAAGCACGTTTATGGAGAAGGGCAGAAGAGACTACCCCAAAAAAGTATATTCATGGATTATTTGACAGTCAGGCTAAAGAGCAAAGGATGGTAGTAAATAAATGTCATGCTCTAAAACTGAATTTTGCAGATACTCTTCAGCATGGTTTTTCTATGTTTCACTTTTCACCGTCAGCTGTGAGCTGTTTCCAAGTGTGAAATCGCCTAACGGAGGAAGCCAAGCTGTCATTTGACATCTGGGAGCGTGGAGATTGGGCTGCAGTGAGAAGCATTACGGATTTCTTCAATTTATACACATATTCACCTAGAAATTCTCCGGTCTGAAAAGTATTCAGTGAAAAAAAATAATGGAAATTTCAAGCATTTTAAATTAAAAGGTTCATAATTGGGTAGAAAATAAAATTGAAGACACTAGTAGGTACTATATCAACTTGCTTAAGACTAGAGTGGGAAACAAGTGATTATAAAGTATTAGAAAAATAACAAAATTTTACTCACTTGTGTTAGATCTCATATTAAACTTTCAAATATAGTCTTTTATGCTTTATATGGTTAACAGTATAAAAGTGTTCTTTTTCTGGCTGCTTTTTAAAAAATGACAGTTAAGAATGATAAGAAAAAAATACTTGTAAATCGAAGAAAAATTAAATATTTCCTTGATATTTTATTTTTCCTTTATACTTAAAATGCTGTAATAAAAATGTACATTATCAAATGATTAAAGTATATAAAATCCTTTGGCTAAAGACTCTGTGTGTGTGTGTGTGTGTGTGCGTGTGTTCACGTGCTGGATTCAAACAGAAATAAAATCAGAATAATTATAAGGATGTCCTTAGGAAGACAATACATAATCTGTTCCAGTTTTTTTTTTTTTTTGATGATTTCCCACAATGAGAAAGAGAAGAACCTGTCTAAAAGTCTCCTAATAAAGTATCTAAGAGCCTCCTAACATGGCAACTAGACCGTGTGTATTTATATTGTCATGCTACATAATCTGTCGCTGCTTTGTGGACCATTTCTTTGCTTTCTCTTTTCTTGAACTCCATTCTGCAGTATGAGAGGAACCCATTTACCATGAGTGATGTTTATTTAAAATAGAGCCTTGCTACAGAACCACCCTAGATCATCTGAGGATACATAGTGGACCTACAGGGAACGGGTTCTCCTTTGAAAGCAAGGCTGGGTTTGATCAGTGAATTCGTATTCTCAAGACCCACTGGATGGGTCTGCAGCTGCAGGCATTTACGTCCTGGCTTTTCCACAGATGTAGACAGAGAGAGCTCCATAGCTTTTGTCTTTTTCTTTTTGGATTTGTTTTCATGTTTAAAGAAGCAACTTTTTGAAAAAGGTCTTAGGTTTGTTGCAGAAACTTGTGAACACTGGACTTCCTTAGCCGTATACATGCTGAACTGACTAGGATGTTTTAAAATCTAAGAAAATACAAAGTCTAACACAAAGTTGGCAGAAACTATTCTTAAATAACAGAAGGTGATCATTTGCATTTCAAAATTTATCTATCTTGCTTTTCCCCTCAATTAGACCAAAACATGTTGATTCACAGGTTTCTGTGTGTGTTTTTTTCTGTTTTAAACTTATTTATAGAGCAGAATAATGGCCCCCCTGCTAGTTTGGCATTTGCTCAAGTTTCTGTCCATGTAAATCGAATCTGTTACTGGAAATTTTTCTCAAAATATAAAGGCACATCACCCACAAGATAAAGAGATATGCTGCTGATATTATACAGTACAGGGCAGGTGGGTAATGTTTTTAGGACAAATACGTGATAAGGATTCCCAGGAGGGAGGAGTGGAGGGTAGAGGCAGCATGCTGTTTAAACAGAAGTGGACGGTTCTCATCAGAATCTTGTGACAACTTTACTTTCTAACCAAACATGAGCTGCTTAACACACTTCGGAGTTACTCTCATGAAAATACTAAGGTTAGGGGTGATTAGGTGGAGGGCAGGGGGCCTTGGGAGGGGAATTAGTTCACCCCTGCTGTTTCAAAGGATATATCAAAAGAGAATTAAGTAGCCAATTACTTACTAATTTTTAAAATTTTTACTTCTCTATTTTTGTATTACTGGGGATTGAACACAGGGCCTTCGCACTGAGGAACAACCCTGGTCTTTAAAAAAAATATTTATTTTGAAACAGGGTCTCACAAAGTCACTCTAATTGCCCGGGTTGGGCTCCAACTTGCGATCCTCCCACCTCAGCCTCCTAGAGCACCGAGATTCCATTTAAACACTGAAATATCGTCATTAATCCCACCGTTTAAGAAAAGGGTGGAACGCCTACCTATAGTTTTTATAAGTATCACTGCTATTTGATCTCATAAAAACTGTAAGTTATACATTTTGGGTCCAAATCTAGTATTTTAAGCAAAAGGTGAGAGCACGAAAGAGTTGACTAAGCCCGCTGACTCTCTAGGGTTGAGATCATCTAAATTAGAATACTGGCATTACTCTTCTGTTAAGGCCATGACCGGTTTTATTTCGTCTTGTTGCTAAGTTAAGATGCCCATGGACAGGCAAAACTTTCCCTATTATTCAGTGCATGCCGTAATATTAGAACACTTGTGAAACTCACAAAGCTTCCAGGGACAGTTCTTTCATGCAAATAATTACAACAAAGCCCTCTTTTGACTCCAGGTTTTGTTTTTTGTTTTGGGTTTTTTTTTTTTCTTTCTTTCTTTCTTTCTTTCTTTCCTAAATGCTACTGAAGGACAACCTGAAAGAGGGCAGAAAAGGGGAAAAAAAAAAAAAAAAAAAAAAAAAATCTATTAATGGCATACTGCCACCTGCTGGTATACGATGAGAATCAAGACTGCGAACTCAAAATTTCGATATATCAGTACACAAAACTAAAAGTGTGCATCTGCTGATGAATGTATTGTTTTATCCCACATATATTACAGGTCTCAGTCTGCCAGGTACTCTGAATATTAAACAAAACTCCGCTTAAGACTAAAGATACATAATCTGCTATGATGTCAAAATGCCATGTTATAGTTTTGAATATAAAAGTAAAAATAAGAACAGGAAATAAGGAGTCAGTTATAAATATAATGACCCACAGATGTTTGGTTTTATCCTACATTTTACACTATACTTCAGGATGTACCAGGCTTTGCACAAAAGAACTCTCAAATTTAATTTGCATCTTAAAATCTCCAAATTTTTATAGTTAACAAATATTTTTATGTATGTTGGTCAGTACATAAAACGTTATTTTTTATCAAATTAGAAAGCTTGTGGATCTACAAAACAAAGAGTCAGAAAACTATAATAAAGTGATTTCACTGTAAAATTTTTTGTTCTAACATTAACTGTATCACACTAATAAGGTTTCAAAACATGGCATGTTATCTCTTTGAGAAAAATTGTACGAGTCTTTGTTTTCTCTATAAAAAAATTAAAGAGTCATACTCTGGGAAAAGGATAGAGAAAAAAAAATACAGGAAGAAAATAGTGACAGTTCCCAAATAGCCGTTTGGGGGAAGTTTTAGGATATTTGCTCTGTAAGTTGAAAATTTTTGCCATTCCTCAATACAGAAGTAATTCTTAACAATAATGATTATGGCTAAAAATAATAAAGCTTGGATCCTAATTATAATAATTTCCTGTTAGAGGCACTAAACAAGATTAGCTGGTAACTGCATACTGGCCGGCTAGTAGCCATTAAATACTATACTGAAGCCAGGTGTGGTGATGCATGCCTGTAGTCTCTGCTACTTAAGATGACTGCAAGTTCAAGATCAGCCTGGGTCAATAAGCAAGACCCTGTCTCAAAAAATAAAAAGAGCTGGGCTGTCACTCGGTAGTGGAGCACTTCTGAGTTCAATCCCCAGCACTCTCCCTAACCGTACATATCAACAGCCAGTATCGTATTAGCATAATTAACTTAAAACTCCTTTAAAGGCCAAGGGGTGATGAAGGGGTGATGAAGCTACTCTGGTCATCCAAAGAGGCTAAGCGCTGGGCAAAAAGTGACCAAATTTTCAATTGAAATAGATCACAACCCGCACTCGTAATGGAAAGTAACTCAAACCCAGTTCATATGGTCAGGCTACTTACAATTGTCAACCCAAGATCGAACGTTCTCAACAATAAATCTCTAATTTTAAAAACATAAACACACTACATTACTACAGTAATGACAAAAGAAACCTATTATGTCATATATTGGCTAAATAGGTTACTTTTTAGAAAAAGGACCTACTTCCTAATTACCTCAATCATAGAAACAATGCTTTAAAATATATTCTAAAACATCAGGTTGGATCATCACTGAAATCCAACAGCATTTTTAACACTCTTCACTTCTATACATTTTTAGCCTTATGAATTTTACTCAAGTCTGCTACTTCTCACATCTTACAAAAATCACCCATCTGAAGACATCCAGGATATTAACAGGTTCCTCTAAACTCTAGGCGAAGACATTTTTAACCATCCATTACAGGGGAAGTATAGACTCTTAACAAAAATGACAGATGTATATACACACGTACATGCATATAAATACGTAGCTGGAGGCTATGTAATGCTTTATCCTGTAATATTTTTTTCAGGGAAGGTAAGAAAAAACACAACCAAATCCAACACATATGTGAACTGCTAGTGAAAAATCCAACTTCTATAAAGAAGCCAGAGCCGCCGAGCCACTTTTCTGAGGGAACCATTTGAGGAGATCGCTCTAACCTGGGGCACAGTACAGTCTCTCTACGGCATCGCTGTCACAGGAATCTTCAACCTCACTCCACCTGCTAAAATACGTTAGCTGAATGTGTCCTAAAAACAAAACGACAGGAGAAATCAAAACATTTTTCTCTTCCATTTTCTGCAGAAGTGAACTGTAATTACTCCTTTTGTAGCTAAAAACAGTATCATTAAGAATAATGGCATCATTAAGTACTAGAAGCTATTACTGGGGGTGAATTTGCCGCACTGATAATGAAGCTCTAGACAGGAAATGAAGATACTAATTACAAGATAAAACGCCTACTCAGTTAATTGGAAGCAACAGCGAATAAAAAGAAATGCATTTGCAAAAGTTCCTGACCTCTATCATTCAATAAGATGTTGTTTGGGTTCAAATCGCGGCACACAATTCCCTCTCTATGTAAAGCATCAAGGGCTACCACCATTTCAGCTGCCCATCTCTGAATGCAGCCCTCCGGGATACAAAACCTGGAGTTCAGTGCTAATTTTTTATCAAGGTCCTCAAAAATTTGATGGATCTCCTTGTCTTCCTCCAGGGCTAACCCACTCTCGCCCTCAGACTCTGAGGTTCTTTGGAATAAACAAGTAGGTTCCTCTTTAGCCAAGTCATCAGGCTGATCTGTAAACAGCAACACTTCTTCCGTTTTGAAAGTCTCTGTGTTTGCATTGTATTCATTAGCACCTGAGAGGGGACTAAAAATATGGAATAAGCTTCCTTCTGTGCTGTTGGCAGTTAATCCTGACTCAATTACTCCAAGCTGTCCAAACTTAGGATCTGAGCTATGAGACACAGACGCGTCTTCTGAATGGCTATGATCAACGGCCGCTACCAATAAGACCCCCAGGTCCTCCTGGGCATTATGTGCCTGGGTTGTACTACAGGACCCGAGCCTAGAGGGACCACTCAGGTTGTCTGAGCCTTCTTCTTCGGAGGCTTGGCATTGTTCAGTACCAAGCCTGAGGCCTAACACATCTGGGGCCTCCAGCAGCTTGTTTTCTACTCTGCCTAAGGAAGTCTGTGTAAACTTAGTGGGTCCCATGGCTGCAGCTTCTGGTAGCTCCAACTCTCCAGGCAGATTTACAAGCAGATCAGGCCTTCCTTCATCAGTACCAGTGATATCATCAGATGCTGCGTCTTTAAATGAAATAACCGGGACTGAGTCATCTGAGCCCCTGCTAATGGTGTCCAAAGCTGTAAACTCGACTCTGCTTTCACTGGCATTAAAACTCTTGGAAGCATAGTCTCCATCTGGAAGACCAAAGAATGGCTTCAAGGGCTCTGATTTAAGACTATACAGCTTCTCTCCAAAATCAAGTCCCAGAAATTCACTTGTGCTGTCCTTACTATCTATTCTGAAGAGTTCCATGGGACTGTTCTTTGATCTGCTAAGAGAATCGGATGTTCTTGGAGAAGGAACTGTCTCTGGGTCCTCATCTCCAGGGAAGAACTTGAGCTCATGAGTTCTCAGCTGTGCGCTGGAGCCATCACCATCCGTAGCAAGGCATGCAGGGAAGCTGTGCAGGACTTTGGCATCAACATCCTTCCCTTCAGTCTTCACGAAGGGCTCCTCATTCAGAGTCCCTGGTTCAATCTTCTCCTGCCCATACTCATTGCATAGCGTTAAATAACTAGTAGTGCATTCTTCTTCTGAACTTGAACCAGAATCGGGCCATTTTGGAGAGCTGTCTTGGCCATCGTCTTCCTGGTTGCTATCCTCTTGAGAACTCAGAGTAAGACTGGTCTTCAGAGGTAATACTCGGAGCAGGCCTCCCCCATCACTTCCTCTGGACTCAAAGCTGCTGCTATCCTGAGGACTGGAAGCTGGCTGCTGCAGGTGAACCTTAGCAAGCGTGGACTTTTCCACTTCCTTAGTGTCAAAGCTTTCTTCAGGACTTCTATTGAGAAATTTACTGATGTATGACCAGAGCTTGCCACCTGTAAACAAGTATAACAACAACAACAAAAAAAATTAAAATCCCCAAACTGGTATTTACTTAAGCCACTAGAAAAAGCAGGTATTCTAACAATCAAACACAAGTCAATGATACTCATTAATATAAAATATGCTGTAAGACAAACACATTTAATAAAATGTAATATAATTTTAAAATTTGGTTATTACCCAGAAAGTATGATTTCAAATATATCTTCTGATATCAACTATTTTAAAATAACAACCTATTTCTTCTTTTGAAGGGAAATCACTTATAACCAATACTAATATGAAATCTCACAGCTAAAATCTTGCTTTCATTATTACTTCATCTTAGAAACAGACAATTATGTTCTGATCTGCTAATGTAATAACAGAGTAAGCAGAAATATATAATTCTGTTTAAAATTGTACAGTACAGTTGGAAAAAACTAACAATATTATTGCATTTTGAAAAAGCCCACTAGAGAATTAGAGGGGAAATTTGGCATCTGTAAATGTGATGCTTTATAAATGACATATTTCCCTATTTGATGCCCCCAGCTACCTGTCAAGTACTGTATAAAACACGTAAGTCTCTAGAGGACTAACTGGGCAGCCATGAATGAGATAAGCTGTTACAATTCTGTACTATGATGTATCCGTTAAACTAAACTAGTAAGAATTGAACACTGACAACTGTACTCATTAAAAACATCATAAAACATGTGTATAGGAAATCAGTACCCTCTAAGATCCAGAGTTGCTAGTGTAAGTGTATGCGGTGTTTACTTCTATCAGTTACCTGATTTACCTTGAGGCAGCAATGAAGAACTGGTTCTCCTTTGTAAATTTTTAGAATTGTTTTTAAGTTAAATATATCCAAAAAAGGTATGAAAAGAAAAAGTAAATTTGATTCAGAAATCTCAAAAACAGTAAGTGCAAAAGCCAGGTATGATGACACACATCTGTAAGCCCTGCACCTAGGAGGCTGAGGCAGGAAGATCACCATGCATTTAAGGACAGCCTAGGCTACATAGAGAGTTCAAGGGCAGCCTGAAATACATAGTGAGAACCTGGCTCAAAAAAGCAAAAAACAGCAACAAACAAAAAAAAATAGATGCAGCAGCATACTTTGTGAAGGTACATCTAAGTGCAGGCCAAGAATGGAAATTGATTAATAATGCATTAAAAATAAATCCCCACAATCATATAAAGCAGATAATGTTTCAGAAGGTGTTTGACTTTGCTATAAAGTACCATATACTAAAGGCAGCTAAACCTTTAGAAAAACAATCACTGTCAAATGGCATATGTAAAAGTTGAAAGAAGCATGAAAAAAAAATTTCACTTTTCATTTCTTTTTTTTTCATTTTAAAGAGAGTTGTAAACGAGAAACAAAGAAATAGAACAGTAGCAGCATACCAGTATCACAAACATAAAAGCAAGACATTCAAAGTGATACAGAGTCTCAAGACAAAATAATATGAATTTTTTTTGTGTGTGTGTGGTTTTTTGTGGTTTTTTTCAAGACAGGGTCTCGTTATACAGTTCAGGCAGGGCTTGAGCTCACTTCGTATCCCAGACTGGTCTCGAACTTGGAACGATCCTCCTGCCTCAGCTTCCCAAGTGCTGGGATTACAGGTGTGCGCCACTACACCTGGCCTCACTTTTCATTTCAACAAACTCAGTAAGTACGTAAAGCACCTTAGCATAAATGCTCAGTAAAAGGTAACTGTCATAGCATCACTCCTAGGATTCTCATATATCTCTTTCTACCAGTGATCTAGTTAACAGTCTTTCCCCCTGATAACAGCGGTATAGGTACAACTTTTCCCTCATATTTTTTCTTAGCTAATTGCTTTCTGTCCTCTTTAAACTGTATTCAGTGCTTTACAATTCCCTGTGTTCTAGCTAATGATTAGGAACTCACATTAGGTTTTCAAGCTCACTCACAAAAAGAGGTAGGATTGACTCCTTAGGTTTTGTCTTCTGACAACAAAACCACATTCTTCTTACCAAATGCATATATTGTGGCACTCTAAGAAAAAATGCCTGAACCTGAAGCTGTAATTCTTACGCAATCCAAGTAAAATGGCACTGGTGGTTTTCAATTCTCCTAGATGATGACTATGTCAAGGAAAGGACCAAGTTCTTTTTATCTTTTTCTGCCTGCTTTCTATTCAGCGTGCAGGGCATGGCAGATACCTGCCCAAAGCCGTCACATCAGGTGGTGGTACACCAGCAGACGCAGCACCATCCCATGCAGACGCTGCAAGCTTTCTGTGGTCAGCAAGAAACACTCCCTAGGACAGTTCTAAGGTGAGTTTCATTTGCTCTTAGGCCAACTCCACCTGGATGAGCTACTGAAATCTAAAATTCAATGCACTTAAATTATCAAAACTGCATCGAACTTGGATCGTTCTTCTGCTTGCTCTTCCTATTTGACAAGTCTCCAAGTCCAACAGGCTCTACATTCAATGCTTCCCCCAGACATCCTCTTCTTTGAATTCCCTGAACACTCTGTGCTTCTTGGAATAACTCTGGAGTCCCACCTAGGCCCTACTTGAAGTGGCTGCTCTATCATCCTAGCACACAAATTAATGCCCAATTAATCTTCCATCTGAGCAGCAATTTCATCACACCATTTCCTCATTCAGGAAATGAAATCCCCTCTGCCTACCAAATCATGTCCCAGTTCCACACAGGCACTTGAACCCTCCAGGAACACAGTATTAACTCGAGACTGGGTCTTCCCCTTAATTCTTTTGAGTTGTGTTTTCTTCATAGAACTCAGGCTGGGTTTTCCTTGTGCTACATTTAGCACTTAGAATTTTTTTCCCTACTAATTTCTCCAACATCTGGCTTGTCAAAAGCCTACTATTCTTAAAGGTGCTTCAGAATTTGTTCTCTTAGACCAGCTTCTTTGTATCCTCTCACTGCAGATAATTCCTATCTTCTCTGAGTGCTTTATATTGCTTCAACCCTCATGTGACATTTACAACATTCTATTTCACATGAATATTACTTCTATGTGTCTGTTATCTCCTTTACCAGACTGCAAGGTCTTCACAGCTGCAAGCAGGGGATTCTGTCTACTACATAAAATAGACAGTAAGTAAATGTTTATTAAACTGAGTTATAAAAGGATGTGATCCTTACAAAATCTTTTAAACCTTTCCATGAAGAAGGTCTGTAAGGACTAATAATGTCATTTTAGGAGGGGTCAAACTTTCATTCTATTTTAAAACTAACATAGTTTTATTGAAACATTTTCAGAAAATACAGAAAACAAAGACAAAAATAAAAATCATCCATAATCCCACCATCTAGTGATAAACATTAGTAAACCATTACTATATTTATTTTCAGTTCCTTATTCACAATTAGCATCAGCTCATAAACATTTTTCTAATCTACATTAAAAAGTGAGCTTCAAGGGCTGCACTGCATATCCATGTGGTAGGTATTATGATGTATTTAAATGTTCCTCTGTTGGACATTTAAGTTGCTTCCAATCTTTTACTATTAGAATTACAATAATAAATATTTTTACATACAAATATTTGGCATCTCTGATTATTTCATTGGGATAGAATCCCAGAAATGAAAGTACCGAACCAAGAAGCATGAATATTTTTAATGTGTTTGCTATGTGTTGCTAAATTGCTTTAGCAGAATCGGCTCCTTTAAGCAATTCATAACCATACCATCTTTACAGCAAGCTGCCCACATCAGATACTGGCAAGTTTAGCAATTGGATTAGTCAAAATGGCAACCTATTTAATTTCCAATGCTTTCATTATTAGATAAAAATTTTAAATGTGATCATTGGCATTTTCTTTACGGAATTTGTTCCCAGCCTAAATAAGTATCCTACCATGAATTATAAAAACTGTATTTTCAAGAGGGAAAAACAAACTGTTTTAGCTCTATATCATTCTCTGTTGAGTACCCAGTGAAACTTAATGCACAGTATGGGGCTAAAGAAACAAAATTTTGGTCACATCCCATCCTTTTTGCAGTTGTAAAATCATGAAAATCACAATCTAACACAAACACATTACTCCCTTTGAAATTTCTCAACCACAAAAGCTGGATGGGCTTTTACTTTCTTCAGAGTTAAGATCAGTCTTAACAAACTTACACACCAACACTATTACTATAACAATAGTAACATTAGCCTTAAAAATTCTGCTATTGCTAAATCACAAAATATAAACAGCAAATACCTAAAATATTTATAATTTTAATTTCTCTAAGCCCCTTTGAAGAATATAAAACTGCAATTATTGAAACATCTTAAGCTATAAAAACAGTAATGCATTAGGTATAATTAAAATTCTTTTTGTCTCTCATCGTATTTTAATTTATTGGTTCCCTATAAGATTACACAGTAAATGTGTTAATCTGTTTGACCAGAATTAAGACTTTAAAATATTCAATATGTATAATGAAATACTGGTATAGCAATGAGAGAGAAATCATCTTTTGACGCAGAAATTCCATTTCAAGAATCTGTTCTACAAATAATTCTAAAAAATAAAAAACTAAAAAATGCATAGGGCCCTGTCCGACACCTCAATGGAGGGGACTTGCTTGCTCTTTGTTTTGGATCTATATTTTGGGTGGGGCAAACACTCTGCCTGGACTGTTTGAGGAGAGACCTGCGACCACCTCTGCTGCTATACCCTGAGAACAGAGGAGGGACCCGGACATGGTGTCCCATGCCCAGATGGTAACGCAGAGCAGCAAAACGTTTTTCATACCTGATGAGCCCGCGGGGAAGGAAATGTTCACCCCTGGGATTATTTTTGGGAAGGGAAGGCTGTGCATTGGCCATATTCTCTGCAATCTATTTTACTAACCAACCTGTTTTGGGACATGTAACCCAAATAAAAGAGTCTATAGAAAAAAAAAAAATGCACAAAGATATTTATGTACACATAGTGGAAACAGTTTAAATACCAACTAGTGGGGGAGTAAATTATGATAAAACACTTTGTGTCTACTCAAAAAAGTCATAGCAATATTTGCAAATGCATAGCACTCAAAGTGCTTTATACATACCAACTAGTAAATCTTCACATCAACCTGATAATATAGCTAGTTATTATGTCCTATTTTACAGTGAGGAAACAGAGGCACAGAAAGATGAACTTGCCTGAGGTCTCACAACTAGTAATAGCAAACCAGCATTTGTGTTCCCATGGCCTGGCTCACAACCTTTGTTTTTAAACTCCACAATCCTCCCTTCCTTAACGAGAAACTCCTACGGAGAGGTGCCCATGCACACTGCCAAGACGAGCTGAAGCGATAAAGCAGTATGGAAGAAGCACTCAGCATTTAAAAGAAAACCAGGGAGGGAATGTATGTTTACACACTGAAGACTGTTAGAAGACAAACACAGTAAAAGTGTCTAAAAAGTTTATTTCTGGGGACTAGGACTGGGCATTAAGTGAATAGAGAGGAGAATCTTAATTTTTATATACTTCTATACAGTTTGAATTTATTTGCTTACAGATTAGCTTTACGGTTTTAAAAAGCAGTTAATAAAAAGAGAATTATTTTACTACTCCAGTCCCTGCATGCCTGGGGAAAGCCTGCCCCGCTCCTGTTTGGTGCGTCCTCACTCAGGGCTCTGTAAGCCCTGTCTTCTGACCTGGTCTTTTGTCTCTTCTCCGGCTGGTGCCATATCGCCCACTAATTCAGCGCCTTCTGCAGCCCTGGCTGAGGAGTACGACCTAGGCCCTCATTCTAGATGCTTAAATGCTCACCACTTTGTCGGAATACATTGGCCCCCCACCTCTCTCCTTCAAACAGACTTACAAGAGATTCATTAAAAGGAACGATAATCTTCTCTCCTAAAACCTTGTCTGTTACATCCCACTTCCTTCTCTACCACTTGGATATTTAATAGGGATCTCTGACTCACATCTCCAAAACAGATTCTCATTTTCCTTCTAAATCTACTCTTCCCTCAGCTTAGTAAACGGAAACCCCATTCTCTCAATATTTGAGCCAAGGCAGACATGGTGGTAAGCCCCTGTAATCCCAGCATTCTGGAAGGCTGAAGCAGGAGGATTCAAGTTTGAGAAGAGTCTGAGCAATTGCAGTTTAATGACTTAGACTCTGTGTCAAGACTGTGAACACACATGCGCGCACGCGCACGTACACACACACACAGGGCTGGACTGTAGCTCAGTGGGTTCAGTCCTTAGTACCACCAAAGCAGAAATACAGAGATAGAGAGAGCCAAATACCCTGGAGTCACACATGGCAGAATCACATCACTTTATCTTCAAAATTTATTTAGGACCCCAAAAAGCACCCATAAATATATACATATATTCAAACTCTAATAATCATTCCTCACCACCACCACTACTAACACTGCTGCAGCAGTCTAAGTAGGTCCCCCAAAGGCTCCTGTTTTGGAAGCTTGGTCCCCAGTGTGGCTTTCAGAAAGGAGCTTGGCAGGAGGGCATCAGGTCATGGGCCACACCCTCAGCAGAAGGGATTCCACAGTTCTCAGGGGATCTGGGTGGCCCTGACCCCCTGTCCAGCCGTGCGACCCCATCCTCTCATACACAATGCTGTGAGGCCATTTCTGAGGTCCTCATCAGAACTAAGCAGATTCTGATGCTATGGCCTGGAACCTCCAGAACTATAAGCTGAATAAATCTCTCTTCTTTACCCAGCCTCCAGTATTTTGTTACACTACTAGAAAATGGCATAATACAAACACAACATCCAAGCACCATCATTTTCACTTGCATTGCTGCATCTTCCAAGTGGGTCTCCCTGCTGCTGCCTTCGGCTGCCTGTCTTCTGTTTTCCACATAACAGCCACAGGGAACCTTACGTTGTCACTCCATTGCTCAGCACTTGCCAGGGGCTTCCTACCTCACACAGAGTGTAAGGGTGGTTCAGCTAGTGGCCTCTATGACCACTGAAATGTATCTCTGTCATTAAGGCCGCCACCCTATAAAAAACACCAACTTCTGCTCCTCTGGCATTTCCTTCCCCCTTCCTTTATTTTTCTCCATAACACTTCTGGAGAAAGTCTTGTGTTTGCTCGTTGTCTGTTCCTATTCTATCATTCAGCGCAAGTTCCACACAAGCAAGGCCTTCTGTTCTGTGCACTTTATGTTAGTACTATGCCTTTGCCTCAGTAAGCTCTCAACAAATTTCTAACTGAATGAGTCAAAAATAAAAAGAAAATGAGCCTATGAGACTCATGTAAATCAAAATTATTTCTATAAACTGTAGGAAGTAAAGCTACAACTCATAAATATTCAAGCATCTCTATTATGGAGAAAACAACTGTTCAAGATTTACTTTTTCAGTAGTAAATATTTATACATATGAAAGTGGCTTTTTTACAACCTATGCAAAAGTCCTAGCCCATGCTCCTCCTAACCAAGTACCACTGATCTATAAAGATAACACCCTATTTATCATCTAGTTCCTTCCAGTGCTCACGCCAAGTCGGGGAAATGAGCAAAGATTCTTCTCTGTCTGATCTTGACCATTACAGAGTTCACTAAAGCTATCCCCAAGACCTCTGCAGTAGGACCCCAGAAGGTCACACCATCACCATCCGTGGCCTACCCACCCTCCCACAGCCCACTCCCCGTGCAACACAAGAGCAACCTTTAAAAATGTATTAGATCCCACTGCTGCCTAAGACATCCAGTGGCTTCCCAAGATCCCTGGACAAAGTCCTGCCCCAGGGCTCACCCTGCTGTCCAAGGCTCTGCTGGCTTCCCAGTTGCTCTGGACCGCTGGTGCCTTCCCCTCCCACACTTCAGCCAAACGTCTCCTTTCCCGCTCATCAAACATTCCAGGTTTGTTTCCACTCTTCTCCCTGGACTGGACCTTACATTCAAATGGCTGTTTCTCTTGCCGCTCAGAACTTCTCTTAACTGTCACCTTCTCAGACAGAGATCCTATACAACTAATATAAAGTGGGCCCTGGATTGTTCTCTATTACAGTGGTTAAAGACCAGGTCATCCCTATTTGTATCCACCCCTCTATTGTTTTATTGTTTGTTTGACCTCCAGAAAAAGAGTTTAAATTTCAAAAGGGTAAGGTCTTTTCCTGGCTTCTTCACCTAAAAAAAAGGAGTACATGCTCAATAAATTTGGTGAATAATAAATGTATTAAGAGTTCCTATTTGCACTATAAGCTACTATCTTTATATTAGAAAACTTCTTAAAATTAAATAATGGACAACTCACCTGAAGAAAGTCAAAAGAAATATCCCTCCCAAATTCTAACTATGGTCACTCGAAGTCAGAAACGGTAAAGGGAAAGAGACTTGGTGAAGATGATCTAAAACAGTGGCAAACTTGAAAGTATTACGTCTGCGAGAGAACGACATTATAAAACTGTTCTAGCACATTAAAGTCAGCTGAAGCTTGAGCTCTAGGAGGTGTAAGGGAAGACGAGAAGATGGCAGAAGAAAAACTGTGTGATCTGGAGAATGAAGAGGAGGAAGAGGAAGGTAGAGCCACAAATAACAGAGCAAGCTAGAATTGAAAATTTACCAGATAATCTCCAACATGAATAATCCACCCTGGGTAATAGACTATTGACTATAATTACATTCATCCTACTGACCTTGTTCTAAATTATTATGGATTATTACTACGCAAGTTATTTTGTTCCACACCAGAGGTGGCTGTATTTCGCTATCAGATGACATGACCTCTAATTCAATAATGTCTGTAATGCACTGGTATCCTCAGATAAAAGCTGTCTATAATGTCTGAACAAAGGTGAATTAGTTATCCAATTCACACACGCAATTAACTCTCTTAATACCTGGGAGACCACGGAGCCCCTTCTGAATTTCCTATTAAATACTGCATATGGAGGTCTTTCCTCCATCTGTAGTTATCTTGTGCTGTACTTCATAATAAACAGTATTAATAGTTACTGCCCCCATCAAAAATCTTGCACGAGTTATCATAAGAGACTTCATTCCAGAAAACAAGGATTTCTTTTCCTGAGAAAATGCATTACATTCAGATACTATGCCTGTTGGGAAAGCACAAGAGTTCTTTATTCGCAGTCATATAAAGAGAATAACACCTTCATGGAATACACCAAATAATTTCTCTTACTATTTTAACAGTGCTGCTTTAAAGAACCAAAAAGATAGATAGATAGGCAGACAGATAGACAGATGTGGTGACTTTCTATTTATGGGCTGTATTTAGTCATTCTAAATAAAAGACTATTTAAATTCACGTGTTAATAGGCAAAGCAAAATCAAAACATAATAATTTTTTGCCACCTGTTCCCTCTACTCAGAGTTAAAATTTCACAGTCTGAAGGCAGAGCAGAGCCCTGCGCCTCTGCTTTGTACCCATATGTGATGCCAACGGCTGCATTCATAAAGACTCAGATCAGAATAGCCAGGTAATGTCAAATGCTAAGTAAACATCTTGCCTTCTATAAAAAGGACATAATTAATTAACTCTTCAGGGGATGTTTTTCTTTTAGTCATCTAACACAAATGTATCTTTTTAGTAGAGACAAGAGAACGAAATAAAATCCTTACAATATAACTTTCTCAGGCGCAGGAGATCAAGTCTCCGAGCAGGTTAAGGAAGGGAGTGTACGCAGACTATTGAGGAATCTGCCCTTCGCCTGGCTCTTCATTTCCCTCACAACCTGAAGTAGGGAGGGAGGCAGAGGAGCGAGCGATAGTTTCTCAGTGGAGTTTACATATTTTGACTGCCCGGGAAGTGACAGGGGTAAGGAGGACACTATAGAAACTGAAAGCTGGCAGGTGCCACCCTCCAGGGCAGAAACGACGGGCGCGCACCAACCTTCGGCGTGCTGCAGCACCAGGAACACCGACTCCTCCGAGACGATGTACTTGTGCAGACACACCATGTTGGGCACGCAGCGGGGGATGATGGTCTTTCTGTTCCTGCTGGACTCGCTGCTTTTCCTCAGACCCTGACAGAGAACAAAAAGGTCAGTTGTACCCTCAGCTGCCTTTGGAGCCTGCTGTGCTCTGTGTTTATCAACCAAACTAATCTATCCGAGTTACTCCGGGCTTCAGAGAAACCACTCATCTGCTGCTCTATGCCCCTCGGTCCCTGGAGGCTGCGCTGATGGCATCTGGCCCGAATCCAGAGAACGGAAGATGCCACAAAGCTGCCATTAAAATCAATTACGTGGGTCAGTGTTTTTATTAGAGATGCTCTCAAACTAAGTCATCAGGATGACACGCAGTTATTTCTCTATGACCTTTTAAGTTTTATTTTACTTATGTACATCTTTTAAAGCAGGAGATGTTGTGAGATCAATTCAAATTCCAGAGACACAAAAGATATTCCTAGATTAAACCAACATTTAAAATTCTATTTCAAAATACAACAAAGATTATGACAGTCTCTTCCAAAAGAACAAGGTGCATGCGTTTTCTGGGGTCACTCTGGTTTTTAAAAACTGGGAAATGTCAATGATAGAGTATATTCCTAATAGGAAAAGTGTTTCGGTATGTGTCAATGTGACCCACTGCAATGCCTTATCAGCAAAAAAAAAAAAAAGAAACAAAATTAATCAAGTCACCTTCTGGGTATTACAGAGATGTTTAAGTTAGGATATTTTAGAATATGTGCCATCACAATCCATTCCAAAAACAATTTCAAAATTATAAAACTGAGTTTTTGATCTTATTCATTTAATTATAAATTAAACTACTGTATATATTGAATCAAGTTGAACTTAGATCAAAAGAAGACCAGAGATACAAATAATGTTTTCCCACATGCTTATAACAAAATTTCAGTTCTTAAGAAATGCAGTTATAATCAAAGGAGTGTGTGTGGTCCTCACAAATTATACGGAATGCATTTGAGACGTAAACTACAAAAAAATGATCTTCCATTTATCCAAATTATTTCCTCCATATTCTGTAGCAAAAAACTACTTTAAAATGTGTGCTACAGCACTTATATAACTGTGAAAAAGGACTAAAAAAAAGAGCTCACCATAAACAACAGAATTTAAGCACCCATGTAAAAAATATTAAATATCTTTTCTTTCAAAAGCATAATTTGAACATAAATTTTAAAATTGATTAAACATACAAAACTTACTTACTTTTAAGATGAATGTCTGTTCTGTCCTTGTGTCCATTACAAGTAAAACCTACATAAAAGATATGAGGAATAATTTAATCATAATACATGAAAACATTAGCTCAACTTTTGGAAATGAAGAGTCGGGGGGAACAGAATTGAATCTCCCCAAATTATTCATTTCTGAATAATTTAAAAATCAAAAATCATAGGATCAAAAGTCTCATCCAAAATAGACATTATTATGCTTTCTTTTTCTAAAGGTGCTATACTTTTGCTATGTTAAAAATGCAAGGGTGAAAGTAAAGGAAATATAATATGCTCACAACAGGCGGTGATTCATATGTCTAACTGCCAGGCGGCTCTGAACCACCAGTGGTACACACATGACTATCCCATCAGGAAGAATGGGACAGTCCCATAGGGTGGTACAAGCCACCTAATGGGACAGTCTTATTTGTACCCCCAGTGGCTCAAGCAGGTGGGAACATGTTAAAGAATTTTTTCTTCATGAAACATACAAGATAAAAAGTAAGTAGTTTTTAAAAACGGCTGAAGTCTCAACTTTCTTCTTGAAACTTCCTACGTAGCCACTTGCTGTGCTGTGGTCTCAGTAACCAAGGCTCCAAGCACCTCCTCAACATCCTTTTGGTGCTACTTCTCTGGCCTGGACTGTCCCAAACTCCTCTTCTTACTGTCAGCGAATCCCATCAGCTCTATCCCCAGAATGTATCCAAAAGGAACTCGGTGCCCCGCTTCCACTATTACTCAGATCCAAGCAGAGACCAAGTCTCACCTCACCAGTAGCACTGGCCTCCCAACTGACCTCCCAGCTGCTGTCTTTGCAGCCTCGTAGCCTCATCTCAAAATAGTAGCCAAGGTTTTCTTTTTCAGACGTAAGTTAGATCACACAGTTCCTCTCCTCTCACTGAGAGGAAGAATCTAACTCCATAAATGACTTCAAGACCTGTCATAATCTCAAACTCTACCCCCCTTGAACTGTCACACACCCCCAGCTTCATGGGTAAGAGTGAACAGAGGTAAGAAATTATTCTACCACGTATCTTTTCTATTATTTCCACATACTGTGGCAAAGGCTGGCAAACTTTTCTGCAAAGATGGTAAACACTTCAGGTTTTGTGGGCCCAGTCAGTGTCCGCTGCTGCTTTTCAGATCTGCCCTTTGCAGCAAAAAGGCAGCCACAAAACCCTGTTCTTCCTCCCATGGTACTGAATAACTGCACCCTCCACAGAAGTCCTAAACTAAGTCACGCTGAGGTCTCCATCTCCAACTTTTAGAGCCAGTGACCAAGTCAGTTCTTCTCCCATGCACTTCTCTTAACCACCCTCTACTCTTTCAGCCACCATATTTTAAGCATCTACTATGTGCTATGTGTTAACCATGTAGAATGATATGAATCCCTTCAATAACATGACGAGATAATCTTATCATTCCTATTCTACACATTGAAGACACCGTAGGAGATACAGCTCGGTGGCCCAGTGCCTGCCTGAAGACACTGTAGCTTCATAAAGTATAGGAGCTATAACAGCAGATAATATTATGTACCATTTGTGAGGATTTAGTGAGATGATCATATAAAAGTAGAGCCAGTCATTATTATTGTTATCACTGTTACTGTCGCTTCTCTCTGGAAAGTCCCCCTAGCCACTTACCAGACAAGTACTCATCTCTACGTTCCTTGCAAATGTTCCTCTGTCTCTCTATAACACTAGCAGCTTTCTTCCTTTATTCGTCTACTTTAATAGAGTACTGACTTCTTTTATGGCATCTCTAGACCAACTAAAATTGGCTTTACTTGCTCACATGTCTCTTACCCAACCAGACACCAGGCTCTTTGCAGATATGATTCAAGGACTCTGCAGATCTAATTAGAATAATTAAAATACAAGGTACTCTGGATTATCTTGATGGGTTCCATGGAATCACATCAACCTCTACAAGCAAAAAAGTATCTCCTGCCAGAAGAAAGGCAAGAAGTTAAATCAGAGAGGTCAGAGGACGAGAGGGGTACGTGGTTGTTGGCTCTGAAATCTAGAGACCCACAAGCAAGAACCCAAAGGGACGCACCTGGGAACTCAGGGCAAGCCTGAGAAGGAACCCAGGGAACTTCCAGGAGGAAAGGCCAGCCCTCAGCTGACAGCCAGCAAGGAAACTGAGTTCAGACCACAACCAAAGAAACAGAATTCAGCCAACGCCTCCAAGGAGCTGGGAAGCAGGTTGTCCAGAGACTCCACTGCAGCACGCAACACAGCCAGCACCTTGACTGCAGTCCAGTGAAACCTGTATCACACTTCTGGTGTACAGACCTTTAAGATAACACCCGGGGCTGCTTTGGGCTGCTCACTTGGCCGTGATTTGTTAGGACAGCAGTGGAGCAAAAATGCTACTTCTTCGATCACATTATGCTATATTCAGACACAGTTCATGTTCAAAAACACGTAGTTAGCAAACTCAGGTCTGAAAGTTCAGACATTAGATGGCAATATGGGAATGGAGCTTAGAGAATAAGGCAGGGCTGAACATTTACACTGTGTATTCTCCACAGGACAAACGATGAAGGCGTGATAGTGCACCCACTGGCGCCATTCCTTTGTTCCAAGGCACCGTGCTGGGTTTTAAAGAACTAAACCACGTAATGCTCTCAATACCCAAACACATACATAACTTTTATTCCAATTTCGCATAATACTTACTCGGCTCACAATGCTAAGAAGAGGTAAAAGTTAAACAGGCAGTCTGGCCCCAGAGCCCTTCCTCTTTACCTGCTAAGCTACGCTGCACAAAAACAGCATAATATACTATTTACATCTGAATACCAAAAGTTATACATAGTTGGAATATTGTGGGTGGATAAGAAAACAATCTAAAGTGTAGTGAAAAAATGCAAAGAAAAGCAGGAAAACACAATGAGTCTGACTTCAGAGAAAGAAAACACTTCAGTGAGCCATCATCTGTCCAAACCCTTAAGAGACACCAGGGGGACTGAGGACTGGGAGACGATGGCTGAAGGCAGTAAGGAAGTCCTGGTCAATACTGCACTATGCAGTCAACTGCTGAAGACAGAAGCTAGATGCCCCGAGTTAATAAGGGGTGAAAAGAAACGGGGCTCTCCATGAAGATCTTGCAGTTGTGAAGGAAAGAGAGAGGAAGGGGAAAATGCTATAATTAAAGGATTAGTGAGATCATCTGTCCACAGAAAGGCTTGAATTTTTATTATTTTTAGGGAAGACAGACCTATTCTCTACCTGCCCTTTGAGCTACACTCACCATAAACCTTAAACCTCTACAGCATAGAGACGCATCAGAGCATTTAAACCTTGAAAGTTAATATAACATGAGTGCAAAGGGAGGCACCTCAGCCTCCTCCCTACAGAGGCGGGCTCCATGAGCACCTGTTGAATCTGGGATGATATTTAGTGTTCCTTAAGTCTCATTTATTTTTACATCAAGTTGTGACTCTTTCAGGTCACTCACCAGAAAGCCAATGATATTTGACTAAGACATGGCTGTGTAAAATAGGAAGCGTCTCACTAGGCATAAGGCACTGAAGCTGTACGACCAAATGAAGCATCTCAACTGACTGAACAGAATATACCGGCATAAATCAGGAATGATATCTCTTTGCTGGCCTCACTTAGCCATGAAGCATGAAGCAGATTAGATAAAAAGGCCAAATTAAGATGGATAAACAGGGCTGGAAAGCGCTGCGTTGTTTACATTTGCTTTCTTCTCCTACCAAGTTTGTTTGCAACTAGACGCCGTTCACATTGAGGCAATAAACACAAGAACATATGTGATTTTTTTAAAATGTGCCCTTTGACTGTCAATTTCTCCCAAACAGGTGTTGGCTAAATGATTATAAATTGGCCTCTGGATACACCTCTTCAACTGAGCCGTACAGGGCTGGCGATAATATAATTAGACCTAAAAACATCAGGCTGGTGAATGCTTTCCATCTGTTTGGCAATAATGTTTAGTTAACAATAGTCTTTAAAAGAAGCACCTTCAACTTCAGTTCTTAAAGTTATTTATAGAGCCATTCTTAACACACCAGCACTCCTGCTAACAAGAGCTTTAGCCACTTGGAAATTATTAGCCATACAGCTGTACACAAAGAGAAACGACTGCATTTAACATCTGTATCTTTCCAAATTTACACGCTTCAACCTCATTTAAAGTCATTTCTTAATGAACAGTGCTATGGCGCTGCATTAATATTATAGTTGCATGCACAGAGATCATAAGGAGCCAAACATTTTTTTTAAATGCCAACAGTAGGCCAATCTGTAATGAAGCTGTCAGCATAAAGGACAAAATAATAGCTTCTTTAACCCTCAAACAGAATTTGTTCATTTGTAGATTAGAACACATCAATTTAAAAACTGCTCATGGGTTTGCTCACCTTTGTAAAGACAAAAATCTAATTTGTACTAATTTGATACAATTGTCTTTCTAATAAAAGGCTCCTAAAACCATCTTTTATTTCATGATAAAACAAGTGCTACAACTAAAACTGTCATAAAATAATTACCTTGCACAGTATTCCTTATTGAAAGAATACAATTATGTATTTCTCCCTTTCGCTTTCCACACTTACTTATCAGCACTACATTAGCATATGGTCTAACAGAAGAGCTTACTCTATCTATGCCCATGCTGATAGGGGCACTGCTTCATCCGATCCTTAGTTCTGCCCTGACAATGCAACTAACCACTTTCTTTTCCTAAAAGTAGCAGGGAAAGTTCCAAGGCAGTAGAGGGCTGAGTCTTTTTCGTTTATCAGAATAAAGAAGACTTAATATGAAACCAGACACCACCCCGCAAAGACACAGTACAGAAAGTACACCGAAAGCATCAAATGATGATGTCTTAGGCATATAAAAAAGAACAAATTCCAAGAAAAAAAAAGCAATATGCTACTACAAGGATGCTGTGAGTATGGTGAAGTAGGAAGCTGGGGACTCTGCAGCAGGGGACTGACTGCTACCCAACTCATTCTTGAAGCTTTATAGGTATTTAATTTAAATATTGACCCTGGAAGTCTGA